AAAATGTACCAACGAGGACCACCCTGCTCCCACCCCCCTGGTCTGCCTACGCTCCCCCTGGCGACAGGTTTCTCGAAGTGCGGGACCCGTGGCCAAGGAGTGAAGGCAGTCTAGTGGGGTGGGGGTGAGGCAGCCGCTTGACATTGACACACATCACAAGCCCTCCCCCCTTACCGGATGAGCGCCCATTTTCTTTGTACAACATCACACATAACTGGCAGCAAAAATTAGTGACAAATTTCAGTGGAAAAGTGTAAAAAAATGCACATAAGAAATAACGAAATGCACATTGAAATTTATGCATAAAAGCTATGGTTTTTTTATAGCAGAATGACCTTCGCGAGATTAAACCATCCCAATAGCATGTATCACATGAAGGAATCTCCTCTTTGCTCGCGCTTTTTGAGCGCATGAGCCTTTCAAGTTTCGGGTGATTGCAGCTTTCAATTCATGCTTTTGCAGTTTTTTTTGGCTTGGCATTGCAATTGAGCAAGCTACAAGTAAAAAGCAAAATAGGTATTTGAACCACGTGAAAATCTGAAACTGCCTGAAATATTAGTACGAATAGGTCTTGGAGGGAGGCGTCATATGCGCGATCACATTAGCAATAGAGCGCACATACCGCAATTGCCCATCCTACTGTGACAGGACAACTCGTCCCGAATCACTCAACTATTATATTAAACTTCAGTAATTGATCGACCTGATAATTTGGGTCTCCAATACCTCGTTGAAGTCACAAATATACAAAAAAGGCGGATAGCTTCAGCTGCCGAATGCCAAGGCTAGAGGAACGGAATAAAATGTATTGCGCGAACGAGTATAGACGCGCAGTACATTTTATTCCGTTCCTCTGCCTTGGCATTAGGCCAGCTGAAGCTGTTCGCTCTTTTGTATATTTGTGACTCAACAAGGTATCGGGGACCCAAATCACCAGTTCGATAAATTACTGAAGTCTAATAGTTTAGTGATGCGGACGAGTTGTCCGCACAACAGGATGTGCCAAATGCGGCCTGTGCGCTCCAATGCCAATGGGATCGCGCCATTTGACGCACACCCGTCTGGGGCGGGTCGGTCCTATCGTTGCTACATTTGGATTTTTTTACGACCCCCCTCCTCCATGGGCGATTTGGTACGACCCCCTGTGTCTAATTTTATGAAGACACAATTCATACCAATTTTTTATTCTTTTATCTTTTCATAAGGTTTTCTTTTCACCCTGGAAAAATATAAAATAATAGAAAATTCAAACTTCACGAGATCAGGACTAATAAAAGTGAAGTACATCCTTCACGAGATCAGACTAAACAAAATGCGCAAGCTTAGTCCCAGAGACGTTTCTACAGAGTGTCCCTCCCCCCCAGCCACATTGTGCGCAAAATCCTACTGGTGAGTTTTCATAGGAGATCAGAGTACGTCATTAAGCATTCTCCGCTGGAGAAAACGGGTGGGTTGTGGCGTCATATATGGAGAAGTGGGGAAATGATTGAGAATCCGAGAAGGTAGTGAATCGCGTGTTGACAGTTTCGAATGTATTGATTCGCGCGCTGAGTGCTGTAATGGGGCGCGTTTGTTGAATGGGAGCAGGTGTCGAAATGGGAAATCGAGAAGTATAGGAACTTTTGCTTGGAAAATTTCAGTTTTCTCCCAAGACGGAGTGAATTTCGGATCAGCAGGGTCATCCTTCTCAAGTGGAGGGATGCTGTTCTTAAACAGTCTGAAATAATTAAGTTATTGAGCAGGAAATGAGTTTGCACTACAATTTCCTGCCTTCCTCTTTTTCGGGCTATAACTTTCTTCATATTCGATCTTTTGTGCGAGTTATTGATATAAAAATTCAAATCACTCTCTCTCCAATCATATCTGAGAATTCATCGAAAGCTAATTTAGTAAAAATTAACACGTTAGAACTTTTTTCTGTGCAAACGCGACTTTTCAATATTTAAACGACATAACTTCCTTCAAACTCATTTAATTTGGGAAGCTGAACCCGGTATGAGAAACTACAGGATTCAAGCTTTCTAAAATTACCCGAACGTTCTTGAAAAGTGAGTAATTTAAAATTTAGTTCCGTTGCTACATTTTAGGGGGTTCGCGAACTATTTTTCTGAAACCGCGACCTTTCAACCTAAAACGACCCATAACTTCCTTTAAACTCATTCATTTGGAAGCTGAACCGGGTTTGAGAAATTACAGATTCAATCTTTTCAAAAGTACCTAAACGATTCTTAAAAGTGAGTAATTCAGATTAGTTCCGTTGCTACATTCTTTTGATGGGCATTCTCCGAGCCATTCTCTTAAGAAAGCGGTTTTTTTTTGGGTTTCACTGGCTGCAACGTCCAGGGAAAAGATATCGTGCTGACAATGGATGCGTTGGAATGCTTTGTGCATGCGCTTGCACTGATATCCCCTGCCTTGGTGTGCGCCACGCCTCGGTCCACTCCTGATTCGCTGATCTCATTATGCAGGCTCATCTAGAAGGAAGCGGCTTACAGATGCTCTAGCATCAATTATCTTACGCAAACGTAAGATGGTGACTATTGTCTATGTTGTCTTAGGCAATACTCCAGCTACACTTTAGTTTCAAATGTGGTTTCGTGGGAAGACCCATGTCATGGTGGGGGTACTTCTTTGAACGATGCTACATGTATTGCAGCTGCTGTTTCTGCAAGTCTTCCTTTCTCATGCTCTTCCTGAAACATGGTTATGATCAGTAGGGAGATTACCACAAATCCTACTGCCGGCCACCGAGAGAGTACGACCCCCCACCCTCCGGGTCTATCCAAGAACGACCCCCCGTTGCTACTTGTAGCAACATAGGGTTGACCCTGGTGGGGGTGTGTGCTTGGACTCCTCCTTGTAACAGTAAGGAACCATTTTCAAGATGGGTAATAGTGTAGAATAAGACTATCCTCCTGCATGCTAACAATGAAAGGGTTACTAATTAGGTGGATGGCGTTAAGCTGCCTCGGAACGCTAACCTAGAGCGCTTCCATCTAGGATTCCTCTCCATTTCTGATGGCCTAGCTCATTGCATTGTCCAGGAACCGAATCATTCGACGATGCTGGAGTCCTGTCGTAAACAAGTAGAACATAAAACATAAAATCTACGGGGATTATAGTCTGCTTCAGGGAACAAGTGAGGTCCGATCCTTCACCGCGATAGCGCTAGATCGCCCACCAGCAAAACACGCTCTAAAATCCATTCAAGAGGCTGAGGCCCAGAAGTTCTCCTGCCATCCTTCATATACCCCAGGAATATCTCTGACGATCCACCAATTCTCCACTTTTAAACACATCTTGGAGGAGAAACTGCGTCGAGAACTGGTATATGTCGACATCCCCTCATTACATATTTAGGCCTGCAATAATTTAAATTTCTATCAAAAGGGGTGACGTTAGCTTGGCTTTGATTGACAACAATATGGCCATCATAACGTTACTCAATTCAAACGAAAAGGTGTTTCAGCAAAGTTGTGGCGCTTCAAAGTTAGGGGGTCAAAACGGCGGACACTTTTTGACCGACCTAATACTTAACAGCACACCCCACCAGTGTAGATGTACTACGCACAATAGTTACGCAGTACCCTTCGTTATAACTCAGCCTGCTCGAAGCTCAATGTGGACGTTATGACTTTAGCAATCGCTCAAACACTACGCACATACCCGCGCTAGCCCCACGTGAGTGGTTGCTGGTGCTGGGCCAATCCACTGTAACACACATCTCGCGTCAACAACAATGCCTTGGTAACAAACAGTGACACTGAGGTTGGAAATAGACCGTCATCCCAGCAAACACAAACCTTCATCGGACCATGACACTAGTACTTCATAGATGATTCCTTGTCTTAGCTGTATAAAACATCTTTATCCAAAATCATCACATGGCGAACCTACACAATCAAATGAGACAACAACCAGGACAAAAGAAAATCGCACTGAAGAATAAGGATGTAATCGTAGCCTCTGCAATGGGTTTTCCAACGTCGAGCAACAAATATTACTCATCATCGATACATAAACGAATCTCACTGAAATACAGGACAACAAATTAGAAATATTGTAAGTAAAATGGAACAATAAGTTGACGACAGACGACAAACGGACTGGGAAGAGTGTATCGAGAAGTGAATATGAATTAATACGACAATGTTCATGCTGACCGACCACGAAATGTTCATGTCGCCGTTTTTTTTATTGTTTCACTACTGTGTCGTCTAGAATGAGAGGTTATTATGCAAATCCTGATTGGTACATACCACAGGAACAGTGCTTGTATGCACACGTGGGATCCGATGGGAAACAAGTGGACTAACCCTCTGAAGCGCGTCAACGACGCTGCTCTCTTTGAACTGCCGACCATTTCCCCTCACATTACCCGAATACTGTTTTGCGTTTCATGTTATTGTTCCTACACACATCAGAACTTGTTCGGGTCACAACCACCCCCTGAAAGGCACACCCCACTAGGCCATCCCCATTGGCTAGGCATGTTCCGGTGATGGACTGTACAGTCGCATTTGCTACCTACCCATTTTGTGCCGAAAATCGATCATAGCTACTGTTCCACGCTTTGATACCTTCTACAGCTGCTTGGGAGCTATACTAGAGTGTTTTGGGAAGCCTACAGCGTGGAAAAAATTTCCTATCCGCACGACGTTTGATACCTCCCCCTGGGAGGAAATAATGGCCTGTTAGCACACATCAAATAATAAACTGAAGATAATCTACAAGTGAACAACAAACGGACGTAATTACGTGAACCTGGACTCATCTTACGTCGGCAGTAAGTCAGTTGTCAATAAGTAAATGAGAAAAGAAAGTAGCAAAAAAACTTGTAAACCATACTGGCACATACTTGTGGAGAAGGAGAATGATACGATCAACAATGAATGATAAACATCAGTATACAAGGTCATGTGCAAAGTGTCTGAACCAGAATATGAATGAATGATATGACAGATATGCCACAGGTGAAATAGAACTGATATAGCTCGAAACTATGCGTAGAATTCCTTCGTGGACGCTTTCGTGTATGCGTAACCAGCGTATGGCCGTGGTTTTGGTTCCTCTAATGCATACGAACCTTCATCCTTCTTTCGCATCCGATACACAATAAACATCACTAGCAGTATGGCCGTCAGTAGACCGACAACTGTACCACCAACGATAGCTGAAATTGGAGTTTTTCAAGCACGAATTGGTTAGCTGATAAATCATTTAAAAAAGCCTTGTTTTCAAAACCGATTAAAAAAACATGGAGACAGAGAAAAGCGCGAATGGTCAGTGCAGCGTGGGCGCTTGCAACTGCGCACAGACTTAAAGAATCCTTCACGGAAAATTCTTGCATTCTTTCTTGACATGAATGTGTCAATTGCGATCACCGGAAACAGCACACAAAGTTTCACGCATGGAGATTCGGTTTCCGAACCAGGGTTAAGCGTGCGTTGAGGAATCCTCGACACGTCACAGGTGGGGGGAGGTCGTACTGGCCCGCGCTGGGAGGAATAGACAGGGTCAAGCGTGCGTTGAGGAATCCTCAGCACGTCGCAGGGGGGGGGGGGTCGGCATTGGCCCGCTGGGAGGAAGGGATCGGACCGGATCGATGCATTACTGTCGGAGAACAAACATCAGGGATCGAGTCGATGCCATGGAAGGCCAGAGGACTTCCAGTACCAGTGCTGTTGCGCTCACATAAAATTTTCGTGATTCAGAGGTGTGCACGTAGTGATTTTTCACTACCTCCGAGTTTTATCTTTAAACTATCACTAACAAGTCAAAAAATCCAAAATTCGCACGTTTTCCAACGAATATTTTATCTTTCAGGTAAGTCCTTGATCTCAAGGGATGTGAAGCACACGGCGCATACCAGAGTGGGCCCAGTTAGTTGCGTGCGCTTTAACTACGGCTCTTGAGAGGAAAACTTTCAATTCAGAGAAAAATCTAAGAGGATCCTGAAAGGGTCTGTGTGAGGTTACATGAAGGAGTACACTATTGAGCAAGAAATGCAGCATTCACCGTCAAATTCACAAGCATGTAATCAAGTTAAGACACGCTAAACAATTTTACATTTCTTGGAAAAAGAAAAGAAAGAGGATTTCGAATCTGCTCCCACTTTAGTGTATAATTGCCTCTGAAAGGAGCTATAGTCGTTGGAGTAGTGGTAATGCAGCGAAAAAGTACCTTTCGGCGGTACTCGGGTAAAAATACTCAACGTGGCCATTTTTTAAGTTGTGGACGTTTTTAGCAGTCCTGGTAACCGTTGAATAGTGCAGTTCTTCTAGTTTATGCTGACGTATTTACTTTTCAGATTGGATGGGTTTGAACGTAGTTATGGTCTTGGAAAGCGTAAAAACTCGCACTCATCGCAAAATTTCCTCGTTAATTTTGCGAAAATCCTCAACGTGGCCATTTTTTAAATAGTGGACATATGAAGCTACTTTAGCAACCATTTGATAGAGGAGATCTCTAGTTTTGTATGACATATAAATTTTCCGGGAATGATGAAAAGGGAGCAAGTTACGGCCTCGGAAAGTGTAAAAACTCGTGCTCATCATGAATTTTCCTCGTTAATCGATCTAAATTTGTTATTTCTCATAAAATTTTTGTGATTTCAATACTGGTTAGAAAGAGCTCCTGACGAAACTCCCAAATCTGCTTTCAGATTGAAATTTCGTTGACTTTCAAGAAAGTTATAATCATTTGAATATTTGTTCAGATTTCAGTAGTAGATAAGCTGCCCCACGGCCAACGCCAAAGATCAGTCAGCACGCAGCTGGCTAAGACGGTTAAAAAGCTTCTTTCAGCTTAGGGGGGACGTGTAAATTGACAACCGTACTCTGTGTAGTACTAAATTTTGGTAAGTCTTGTGTAGTAAATAAATAAAGAAGAGATGTTGTCATAGTATGCATTTTTTGTGGGTAGTCTGAGGTTTTCTGCTGCTTTTTTCGTTTGCTCGTTTGGTAGGACATCAATAATGATTAATTGACTTTTCACTTTTGTACTTTTTAAAAGAATTTTCAGTTGACGGTGTGATGGCTTTTTTATGAACAGTTTTGGGGGAGAATTTGACAACCTTTCCATTCGGCTTTTAAAGAGGGTCGTTTCATGGACTTCGGCCTTTGGCGGAGGAAGGGAGGGGGGGGGGTCGTATTTCCAAATTTTCCTCGACGCCTCGCTTGACCCTGGGAATAGATCGGGCCGGATTGATGCAAAAGGATCATCACAGACGGAGAAGAAACTTCAAAGATCGAATCGATAAAGAAATTCGCATGTTTCATAAGGGATATTTTATCTTCCAAGTGAGTCCTCAAATCTGAAGGAAGGTGAAGCACACGGCGCATCCCAGAGTGGGCCCACATGGTTGCACGCGCTTCAACTACGGCTGTCTGGAGAAAGAATCTCAGCTCAGGAAAATTCAAGAGGATTCTGAAAGTGCACGTGCGCAATTACACGGAGGAATCCACTATACAACAAGAAATGCAGCCCTCAGCGTCAAATTCATAAGCATTTAATCGTTAAAGTTAAGATACGCTAAACAATTTTACCCCACTCTGATAGAGAAAAACACAAGGATTTCGAATCTGCTCCTACTTTAGTACGTAACCGCCGTAGTCGTTGGGATAGTGCTAATGTAGCGAAAAAGTACCTTTCGGCGGTACTCGGCAAAAATTCTCGACGTGGCCATTTTTTAAATAGTGAACGTATTTAGCAGTTTAAGTAACTGTTGGAAAGAGCAAATCTTCTAATTAATGATGACTTATTAACTTTTCAGAGTGGATGAGCTTAAACGGAGTTATGGCTTTGGAAAGCGTAAAAACTCTCACTCATCACGAATTTTCCTCGTTAATTTTGCAAAAATCCTCGACGTGGCCACTTTTCAAATACTGGACGCATGAAGCAGCTTTGGCGACCATTTGATAGACAAAATCTTCCAGTTTTGTATGACGTATTCTCTTTTCGAATTTGACAAGAAGCAAGTTATGGCTTCGGAATTTTTAAAAACTCGCGCTCGTTATAAATTTTCCTCGTTAATCGATCTAAATTTGTTATTTCTTATAATTTTTTGTAATTCCAACGCTGGTTAGAAATAGCTCCTTACAATACTCCCAAATCTGCATTCAGATTGAAAATTTGTCATATTTGAAGAAAGTTATAATCATTTGTATATGTGTTCAAATTTCAATAGTGGAAGCTGCTCCACGGTCTACGCCAAAGATCAGTCAGCACACAGCTGACTAAGGCGGTTCGAAAGCTTCTTTCGAAGGGGGACGTGGAAATTGATAACCGTACTCTGTGTAGTACTAAAATTTGGTAAGTCTTGCGAAGGATATAAATGAAGAAGAGATGTTGTCATAGGATGCAATTTTTAGTGACTAGTTTGTCGTTTTTTCTCCTTTTCTCGTTTGCTCATTTGGTAGGACTATCATTAATGATCATTCTTTGACTTTTTCACTTTTGTGCTTCTTAAACGAATTTTTGGTTGTAGCAGGTCTTTTTTTAATGAACAGTTTTGTGGGAGAATCAAACGAGCTGTTCGGCTTTTGAGAGGGTCGTTTCGTGGACTTCGGCCTCTGGGTGAAGGAGAGGGGGGGGGGTCGTATTTCCAATTTTTCCTCGACGGTACCCTTGACCCTGTTCCGAAGAGAAACAAACGTACAAAAACTACATTCTATGGATACCGAAGCTAATTTGGGCGGAGCCAAAGGCGAGGCATGGGAAGAAGTCGGCCTTTGGCCGGCAACCTATCAGGCGACGCAATGAAAGAATCGGGTTAAAGCGCGCGATTTCGGAGAGTAGAGACAAATTGATCGATAGAATAGGATGCAGTAGAAGTGCGAGATGTGAGCGCGATAAAGTAGAAGGCCGAAAAGAGTTTCCAGTGAAGGCACTCCAAGAACCAACTGGAGGCATCCCCGTCATCAGCATTTGTAGAAGACGTCCGTGGGCACTTGAACGCGTAGCAGCCCTTCCGATTTTTCGAGTTTTTTTTTACCAAAACGAAAGCAATATTTCTGTTCTTTTCATTCTTATCGTGGATGATGGGTCTCAAACTGGTGAATTATGGCTAAAACAGAATCATGATTTTTCCGTGAAGGATTCCTTTCAGGATTTGATCGCGTAGATGGCATAAATGGTAATTAGGACCTAAGGTCACATAGCTCGAGAAAGAATTATTCTTCAAAACGGCAAGCAATAGTAGCTCCCTAATCGATGTGCCAGTGATGGCAAATTGAAATTTCCAAGCAACTAAGCGCTCTAGACATTTCTGTTTGGCATGAAGGACGAAAAATGCGAAATTTTCGGCAAAAAAACTGTTTCAGGATCCGAGAGGTAGATTTATTCATCAGGAGATTCGATGTTTGACCCTACAAAGATAAGTAATTGAAGTGTATCTTAAGCGCCACTTTGACACGCCTTTCGTGGTCAGTCTTTGCTCAATGCAGTGCCTTTATCAACGCAAATATAATATTTTGTGACAATTGGCCACATTTAACTAAATCAAAGGCTTCTTTATGGAAAGGTATGGAAAGGTATAGAATTGAAATACACTTCTGGGAAGCGAACCAAGAACAGAGGTCCAGTACTCCTAGGCCGTTTCCGAAATTGTCCATCATACGAATGTACCTTCCACCAAAACAATTCCGGACTGAACAAGGTTTTGGCACTCCCAACATGCTTTTATCGCATATCATGGAGAAGGTTATCCAATGGGACCTACCGTAAATCGGGAAAAAAAAGCACAGGTTCATGATCGTAACTTTCTTACTATCCCTCCATTTGTAGAAACTCTTAAATACACTGCAGTCTCTGTTAAAGTCCAGTGGAAAGGTCGTTAATATCAAGCCAGTAGGTGAACATTATTGTCCTTAGCAGAAATTATTTAGATAGTTGGTCACGTGAATCATAACCAGACGACAGCGAGGGTTCGATTGAGGAGAAAGCTACTGCGCATTTGCCTTGAGACGCAGTTGGTTCAGTACATGGCTCCCACCATTCTGCTCGGGCTCACCAATACACTTTTTGCGTGCATTTGGACGTAGTCTTGTATGTAAAGCGGAGAAGCGCAGCAATCGCCTTTCACATGTGGAAGAGGAGGATTACGACACATACTACAGGGTGAAATTGAGAGAAACAACAAGATCATAAGTAAACCACCACAATTTGTATGTGTAATCCTGGCCCATCTAGCAGCCTTTTCAGTTAGTTAATCTCCTCCGAAAGTAGACATTTTCTTAGCCTACCTCCAGGGACATGGGAAATGATGGTGCTTACAAGAGCAAATGTTGGACTGGCCACGGAGTGATGAGAGCCGATAGGAACAGTGATTCGCACTAAATGTTCATGACCGATTCTGTCATTTCACATTACGACCTTGGTAGGCTACACAGACACTGCTAGCCAGCAACACATAACTTGGACGTTTTTGATATCCTTTGTTTAATCCACCTCCCTCAAAACTGATCCGCAGTGAGGCAGGCAAATAAATGAAGAGCGCGCCCATTGTTCGCTCAATTTACGCTGGCAATGGAATAGCGTAACCTAATATGATCATACTTGTGGCGACCCCTAATGCGCCATCCTCTCACCAGCCTTATTTCACTTCATCGAGAAATTCAAACTTTATGCATTACAAAAAAAGCGCTAGAACAAAATTGGAACACCAATTCCACTGAACCATTACTTATGGCATTTCATTCCAAAATATGCAGGACTTTCGATGAAAATTCACCGCAATGGCACCAAGTTGTCCGTGCATCGATTTGGCCACTTTCTTTTCTATTTCCGGAACCCGTACTTTGACCCATCGGTTTTCCCTCGGCCTTAAATATAGGGGAGCGTCCTCGAGAGCATCAGCAAATAAATAATTGCCAGAACCCCCTCAGATCCTCTCCCCGCCAGAAACGACTACCTCTACTGGTCCTTGGCACTTCGAGGGCAAAATACTACTCCTGCAGGAAGACAAACCTACCGCATACTGAGCCTCAACAAGATCATAATGTCATAGGCCATCTAAATCATCGACCCATTTGTTCAATATTACTAAAAATCCTGATTGGCTTTCGAAAAATTCAGATGCAGCACCCTTATGGCAAGCCCCTTCAAAGAAGATTGGAGCAAATTTCTAGTGAATTTCGATGAATCCCTTCTCCCTTCCGCGAGAATCTTCTCTGTCGCTCTGCCAGCCCTGAGCGGAACGAACTCATCCTTCATAGTACAGTAAACGATAGATATGGTAACTAACACGTTAACGAAATCGCGCATTTAGGCTTTTTCGGCCGCGTGGGACTGGAGCGATTTTGCGAGCGCCGCCGCCTCAATCAAAACCGTGAATTTTGAGCGGTAAATACGCAATACTCAGATGCGACAGAGTGATTTCAATAACGTTCGATGTATCTAACTTATCGGGAGTTACAGTAATGAAAGTTTGACCGAAATGAAGTGTTACGGTCATGAAGGGGCAATTTTCGCTCTCTTTCACTTTTGTTATTTCAAAGATTGTTGTGTTTTTATTATGATTATATTTTTTCTAGTGATTTTATTTTGAACGTGTTTGCTTCAGTAAAACACATATCTTGCCATATAAATAGGCTTGTATACATTTCTATTATCTTTTTTATCTACACGTTCGCGTAAATGAAAAACGAGGAGTGGACTGGAAAGACATTTCGTAAGTTGTGTCAAACCTTTGCAAAACCAAAGAATATTTAGCCATTTTATAAGCCACGTAGTTCTCGGTCAGGTTGATGTATGAACTATAAAATGAACACAAGAAAAAACTTGGAAAGGAATCGGGCATGTGCTCAAAAAATAAAGGTAATGGGTATGGTACACATGGTTGCCACAATGTCTGATGAGGTGCAAAAATGGTGGCAAACATGGTTGCCGCACTGTCGTCAATGTGTTAATTAACGGAAGGAAACAATTCGGATTCTGGCATCCACAATGCACCATTCCAAGTTAAAGTCCTTGGCGATACCCAAAATCAAATACATGACGTTTCCAAAAGCATGTATACAAGTATGTACACGTGTAATTTCAAGTTATAATTTTTTTTTCACAAAATTCGAGCCCTTCAGTCCCAGCATGGTTTCAGTGTTCATGAATCTTCACAACAGCAACTCATTGTTCCAATGGCCTGCCCTTCCGAAATGATTCACATTAGCGTTCTCTACGGGCTAGCCCCCTCCGCCACTCATGCCCGTCCCATATGGAAGACACAGGATGACCCTTTTTGCAAAATGTACGGCTACGATCACCGCGGGGGGCACTGCCTTCGCCCAGTAACCATCTGCTCTCCTTAAGCAAATAGCCTGGCCGGCATATCAATCACTCGACCAGTATGCAAATATCACCTCGCCCACTAGAACGCGACCCCTCCTCTACAGAAGTACGGATGCTTCAGAGGGAAAACCCGTGCGAAGACCAACAGAGTGCTTGATCAATCAAAATAAAACGCCCTGAACATGTGAACATGACTGCAATACATTCCCGGCTGCCGCCGCCCCACACGAAATTCCCATTCATCCGAAATTCTCTGTGAAGAAGTCGCCGCAGATGCGCGCAGTTTATAGATGACCTGATAAGATTGAGAATGTCGCTGGGAACGCGAAATGGGAGCTGTTACGATGGTGATCGGGTGGGATCGGATCGAACCGAAACATTACGACTAAAGACCCCCGTCATCAAACATCTTCGCAATTTATAATTAGCCTATTTCATAATTAGCACCCTCCGAGAGGACGGCTGAAGAGACATTGGGCGCCTCAGTTAGGCGGATTAGACGGGGTCACCGAGAACGGGACCATACATAAATACACACATAGTCAAACAATAGGCTTCCAAGCTTACTAGACACGACATTATCGATTGGTTCTGCAGAAGCACAGAAGTAAACAATGTATACTGCTATAGCTAATCAACAGCATCTCGAACTTTCATTTACTAAAGGTACGTATAACACTAAAAAAATACAAAAGATTTTCAAAAAGTCTCGTCGACCAAGGCTTCTCCTTGTGACTACACTACCTTCCGGTAACCATTTCCATCAGCATTAATCCGTAGCACATTCCCCTATGGGAAAGAAACACTCAAAAATTTTAAATTTCCCAGAGTTCGCTTTTCATGAACTGACCTATTGTGACAGTGGCATGCAAGAAATGGGAAGGACAAAAGATTGTGAACTTGCCACGGCTACTCAAGATATTATGAATGACCCCTGCCGATTCAAGCCCAGCTAAGAAATAGATCAACCTTCCACTCAGCAGTGGTCAAGCCATTTTCACACAATCACAAATCCCACAAGCCATATCCCCACAGACAATCGTGCCAATTCAATAAAAAATTTCTTGATCATTTTGACTCTTTTGATGGCGGCGGCGTTGTCTCTAAAGACGGAAAGATCAAAGCAGAAGTCATATCGTCACCCTTGTCCATCCCCCCTCTCCAACCTCCCTCACAGCCAGCCGCCGGCTCAATACACCCACATTCATTCAATCCCACGCACCACATCCAAAAGATTGACTGAGGTCCAAGTAGAGGATGTGCGCTGCAGACAACGTCCAACGCAGTCTGGACGCATTCGAAACAACGACTTTAAGGGTATTGCAGTAATAGCCCCGACAAAATTTAATTTAGCCCTATGTAAGCGCACCCCTGCAACTCGACGCTCGCCAGTGGTCAAAATTTAACTAGTTCTCGCGCTCTGGACCAGTATTACAGCTCAATAAAATTCGGAGTAGTTGGGATGTCCAACCTTCCGAAAATAGCCTATCGTTCATAATAAAATCTATATCAACCACTTACTCTTACAGTGTCAGCTTTTGTTAACTATTAGACAGTATTACTGTCGAAAGGGAGGTTGTGTGATAGACACGAAAAGGATGAGTTCTTATAAAGATTCAGTTTCTTCTCTGATATACGAAGATCGGATGGGAAATCGAGCGTTAATTTAACCTTTCATTGCAAATTGCAAGGACTCAGTTATCACAAAGTTACTAGAAACAAGTAACCAAAAAAAGTACAAAATTGGTGAAAATAAAGCCAGAAGGCTGCTGATCAAGTAAGCCAAATCAGAAAAAGTATCAGAAAAAACACTATTTTCAGAAGAGGTTCTCGGATCCAGCTTGGGGCTCAAAAAATACAACATTCTGCAAGATCCCGATTTTCCACGGCCAAAATTATTAACGCTAAATCGAAAGAATTAAAAAGGAAGGTCCCATGTTCGCAGTAAAGGCCTTGCATATGACCACACCGAAAATTTTCGCATAACTCAAACATTTGAACAGGTGAAAAGTGTCAAGCAGAAAGTACTACTAGGTTCATACTAAATCTTGAAAGTGAGACTTGATAACATCCAGGTTCAAACAGTTCAAAAAAAGCCGTCCATAATCAGCAAGTTTGAGTATTTGCTCGAACTTTGTTGATATGCCCATTTTTTCCTCTTCCCTCATCACATTTGAAAATATTCTATACCATACTCTTGACAACTTCAAAAATTCAGTGGAAAATCAAGTTGTATTTCCTAATACCAAACATCAAGGTTTTTAAACGATCACAGCAAAATTCGATCGGTGATATTTCATCCCCGAGCGGGATGCTCCTGATTTGCTCAGAAAAAGAAAGTTAACATGTTGACGACATTGTGCAGCGCATGCGCTTCACACCTTGAAGACCGTGTGGGACCGGACGCAGCGCATGCGCTGCACACACGAATTACTAATTTTTTCGCTCATGCGCTATTTCTATTCTTATTTTTTGCATCTGTTCTATAAACCACACCATGACTACACACGGCAAGGTTCATCGAATGGTTCAGTATGCTCCTTTTTAGCGAAGGTTTTCCAAGTCCTATGGATTTCCCATTTGTGTTCATTCCCAGTTTTCTTTGTATTTTGACAATATTGGTTAGAAAAAAGAGTAGTAGGAAGTAAGTACAAAACTACACATATAGCAAGACGTTTTTAGTGAGGCTGCCGTGTAAAAAAAATTTGAGGTTTACTACAGCTAAAGCAACTGAAACTTGCATTTCATTGCCAGAAAACGTCAATTCGATCATTTTTACAGTTATTCCTTCTGAAAAGTTTTAAACATCGAATATCATTCGAAACATTTCGTTTCATCCGAGTCTTGCGTAGTGTAAGCCCAAAATTCACGGATTTGATGTGAGGCGGCGGCGCCTGCAAAGTCGCCGTGGTCCCACGCGGCGCAAAAACCCAAAACGCGCGTTGTCGTCAACGTGTTAAGGACCGTTTTATAGAACTACTGTACCTGTGAATGTTTCTAAGGAGATTTCGCAATAGTTTACCGACCATCTTCTTAAATGAGTACAGTTCCTCGCCTTCCTTATCGCGAGCAGATGGCGCAGCAATTAAACCATGTCATGCAGCACCAAAGTTCTACAGTATCCGGACTGAACCGTGTTACTCTTATCATTTAAGGATGCGAGACAACTAATAGCTTCCAATTTTTGCAATAAATATTGTGAATGTGGAATTCTTCGGAGACAGAGAATTCGTTTTACAAGGAATCAGTGAAAAGTCTTTCGATGTGAGTGCATATGGCCTGGCTGGTAACTACTACTACAGTGCGTACCAAAAGTATGTGGACACCCTAGAATCGATTCTCAGGAGTCAGCTAAAGGCTTTTTGTGTTACGAAACCTTCACCATTCAACTTCTAGTGGTCGATAACCTACTACGACATATGCGGCAAAAGATTTCGTTCTAATTTAGCGAACTATTTTTTATGAAAGTTTTTTCTTTGTATCAAAATTATGTGGAAACCCCGAGGCAGACGAAGTTTTTGATTTCCTAACCTATTTTTACTTCTCCTTTCGTTACTTTTTCTGGCATCATTCCTCTTCGCGGCAAGCGTTGAAAGACCAAGCACAGAAATGGGATCCACATGCTCCTGAACCTTCCTATTGCGAAAGAGCACGTCAATCTCGACCTTGACTGAAGGTTGCTTTCAATCGCTATTTGTTCAAAACAGCAGAGGAATAGCCTTCATTTTCTCAATTTTTTCTTTTCACACTACTCAACTTTACGCATAAATGATCTTCCCGATCTTAAAAAAGACAAATCGGTGTCTCATTCACTCAATTGAGCACAAGACACGAAAGAAGGTGAAAGGCTTTGCATATGAATGCGAATTCAGGTTGGCAATGTTGGAATTCCCACTAAAAAAAGGATCACAACATGATACTTTGAACCTACACAAACAGCGTTTTCGTGGAAATGGTAAAATTAGTAAAAGGCTTTCTGTGGAAATTTCTTCATAGACCAACTCGACTGGCCGAAAGAAGCTTATTCCTCACTATTCGGGTGGGCCTTGTGGTTTTTGGAGAGACTTCAGTCAAACACGCAGATGTGCTCGAAGAGACAATTCGGAAGATGTTCACCAAAGGTCTGGGGTGGTTCCAAAAGGAGGAGGACATTGGAGTTTGGCTTGCCAACATGCTAGGTAGACATCTAGGATTATAATGAGGTGCTTGAGTTCCGGCTACAACCTTTTTCGAGAAGTCCTCGGTGCAAACCACTTGTTTTGCAGGGGAGGTCCCTGACACCATTCAATTTGAAAAAATGCTAAACACAATGGCTTTGATTGGCAAGTCGGCTAGCGTATTCCTCAGACTTCATCCTTTTCGAAAACGTAGAGGTATCCTGGTTCACGGTCTCTACTTCATTGAACAAAAGAGTAATATAACAAGTGACCTAACACGTCGGTGAAATTTGCTAGTTGGGAACAAATCTGCAAGACATGTATCTGGACCCGGTTCATAGCATGCCAGACAGAATGGCTCAACTTACTAGAAAGTTTAGCAGGCCGACCGATTTCAGATTCTGAAGATATTGCCGTTTGTCATAAAGTGTCCACATAATTTTGATACAAAGAAAAAACTTTCCACGAAAAATAGTTCACAGGTTGGAACAAAATCTTTCGCCGAAAATATCAGTGTAGGTTATCGACCACTAGGAGTTGAATGGTGGAAGTTTCATGACATGAAAGCCTTTAGCTGACCCCTGAGAACTCGATTCCAGGGTCCCATACTTTTGGTACGCACTGTACAAAACAACGAAATGGGTTATCATGCTTTTTTTGTTATTGGTCTTACAAGTGTCAGGGTCATGTACCCTGACAACTGTGGTACGATTTTTTCATGTATCGCATCACCTTCCTGACTTGGATTTCGAAGTCAACTCGTGAGCTGTCAAAAAGCAAAGCGCCGAGAAATCGAACTTTTTTTTACGAGCTCCGATTTTTCAATTGGTACTGTAGTGCTTAGTGATTGCATATAAATCTTCCTGAAATCGGCTAAAACACAATCGCTCTTGGCACCGAAGCAATTGGTCATCCCCACGACTTTACTCCCTCAGCTGTGCTCGTCGTGCGGGAGATCGTTAATTGCGAGAATTACGTATGAAGAGACAGAGAGTTAGCAGCCCATAAACAATACCGCATCCGAAAGAAGACGTCATTCACTTCCCAACCAAGAAAATAATCAATATATCGATCAACCAAAAATGCATTCATCCCACAAAGGGACAAAACAACAGAGCGCGAAATCGAAATAAAGCCGCACTCTTGCAGCTGTTGGGCAAAGTCACAAGGATTTGCTGAATGAACGAAAAAAAAGAAGAAGGAAAACTTCAAAAAGCGTAGGCGCACCTGCGAAAATTCCCGGTTTGAGCACTGGATGAAATGGCGATTGCGTGGCTGTGGGATCCGGTGTGGTGGCCGGTTGAATGGCAATACGTCGCGTTGACGTCGTCGACGTCGTCGTCCGTGCCGGCGATGGCGCCGTCGTCATCGAGTCCTGAACGACAACCGTCTCGACAACGGAGTCTCGCTCGTTATCCATGACAGTTTTTATAGGCTCTTGTTCGTCACTGTCTGGTGATGACCATGGAGCCTCAGTTGTAACACTAGTTACCTTAGGCGACTGTCGAATCGGCACCACCGGATTGAAAACCTGAAAAGTACTTTATCAAGATAATACACTGAGAAGTAACTCGCATGGAAGAGACTTGCGCGACCAGGCTCAAATGACAAAAAAGCCTTTGGACCCTTTCTCAGCATAAATGGCACCAGCACAAGTATGTCCTATTTAGACATGTACCCTTTGAAAACGCTGCAGTATCCATCGATTATCATAATTGCAGATGGCTTCTCCGAAGAAAGGGTGGGGCCGATCCCACCAGAAAAGGATCCGCGATTCTTCACTAAGAATCGTAGTGTTGTTTTGAATGCGATTAGGTATATACAATGAAACGCGGGAGCCAACAATGTGTTTTATCACCAAGTCTGGCAGCAGCTGCCCGTCCGCAGAAGTAAGGAAGGCTTGGTTGGCCTGGTCGGAGTACGATATACGATTCGATATGCAAACTGTAAGCCTAGTAAAGTAAGCGCCACTCGCAATACCAATGTTAATTAAATTTCATCTATCATAGTCTTTGGAGCCCTTTGCCTCCTTTCCATAACATTGCTTCAACCAACTTTTTAGCGGGTGCCCAACCTAACGCATCCTGTGAGCGATTGTACCGACAAAATGCAGCCCACAGCGAACTTCTAGCACTTCCCCCTCATCAGCACAACCTAACATTCTCCAAAAGGTTTTTATACCCTCTTCATTTTGAACTTCGACCCTTACTGTGCGCTGTAACGAAAACTTGGTTGTCGGTTCAAGTTCTCAAACATACTAATGATGATTTGGAGCAGAGCTAAGAAATAAAGAGCATGATATCTTGTGCGTATTGAATTAGTAGAAAATCTTTTAAAACAGATTTATGAAGAAACCTACTACTTGCTCTCAGTTTCCGGCTCTGTTCAAGAAATGAAGACAGGAAAACGAACCTCTCAATGTAACATCCCAGTCACTCCGATTTCCCTTTCTCTTCAACTAAAAAATTCTAGCAGGGGATCAAGTGATATTCTTCTGCGAGAGGAGAGAGAGGAGAACCTTTTGATTTTTTTTTGTTTTTCACAGGAGTGCCTTAAAAACGGACGTAGTTCCGAAGCGTTTATGCATACAAAAGCAAAAACACGACAAAGCATAAAAAAAACTTGAGAGAAACGAATGGCTTTGAAGGGGTTTATTTATTCTTAGGTGAGGAATAGCATACGGTCCCGGAATGCATGACGTCAGTGCCTCTACCGTTTGCTTGTCTCGTTTATTAAAAGTGGCTCAATTCCGATCCTGTTGGCCTTTGAAAGGATGACAAAAAATGCATTTGCGAATTTCATCAACAGGAGTGAAGGAAAAAAGGATATCGAAGAAGGTTCTTGATCAAAATGCTGTCGGTCATGCGTCTAGCAACTCAAAATAAGGGATTATGGAGCTATCCCTGAGCCTCATAAAATGTCTATCTTCGTTTTTGAAATTTCTTGAGGACTCTTGATGTGAGATTTATTGGTTAGCTTTCGCTGTGATAACAGCTTCTTCATACCTACAAGACATCAAGCATATTACAATACTTCAAACCTAGGAGACATCAACATAGTAAACATTAACTGACCAGGCCGATGCTCTCGCTAATGGGATACTCCGCAAAGCACAATTCAAGACCAAATCAGACTATTGTACAAACCAGGACAACAACGAAACGATGATCACCTCACTCTAGTGCAGTTGCTAATAAAGTAAAATCACTGGGAATGAGCAGTACGTGACTATTTCAGAGTACTGGCTTTTATCCACCGTTAACTCAGAAGTCTCATAGCCTCCATGGCTATGAGACTCAAAATAAGGCTCAAACTACTTCCCCCATGAATTCGCAGAGCCATAAAAGAAAACTGTGCAAAAAATATGGGAAAAGTTAATAACAATAATGTTATAGCACTAATATTATTTATTTATTACATTCATATTATTATTTTACTTATTATTTAACAACTTGGGCGGAAGTGGTGTAGTGGCAATGGCGCGCTTACCACGTGAGCGGTCCGGGGATCAAATCCCGCATCGTGAGTCGCCCGGGCCAACCAAGCCTTCCATCCCTCCGGGGCCGGTCAATTGGTACCAGACTTGTCTGGGAGGATAAAAACACTGACTTGTACATCGGCTGGTCCCCGCAAGTCACTGTATAGGCCACATCGCATTCGAACGCCACTACGAATGTACAGATGGAAGTAGAATGCGTGCTGCCTCCCAAAACGGGATTGATCAAAGGCAGATGCTTCATCCTTTATCCTTTTATTTAACAAGTCGGCAGAAAAAAAAACAACAAACTTTGCTCTTTTCTCTGTTCATGTGGTCGTTTTTTCATTCGCGTTTAGGTCTATCGAGCCTTTTTTTTTCTATAAAAGCTGTACTCTGATGTATGCGGAATAGCGCATCTACGCGTGCATCCAATAAACAAATAAATAATCAAATTTATCTAATTCACCGCTCTATATGTTACACTCTGTGACAGACCAATAAATAACGTTTACCTTGACAGGAAATCGCCCCATTCGGACCTCTTTTCAGCGATGCTAGGCCTCGAGCATACGGTTGGCCTGGACAACGCACGACCAGGATTCGATCCACGGACCGTGAGCCAGCGCAAATTGCCTCTATACTTCCGCCCAAATGGAACAACAGAACAGGGAATGTTCAAAATTTCCCTTGCTCAACCTTCCTAAACCTCTCTCTGAAATAATTCTAGGACGTCCACCAAAAATACTATACCAGATCTCATAGATCGTTTCATCGCTTAACAGTAGTTAATTCTGCAAAGCCCTCGAAAATCCAAAACGACCACACTGTAAGAAAATTCCCGACGCATTGTTGACCTTGGTCTTGGTCCTTTTAGTGCAAATGTATTGTAATACTCAGTTTGAGAGACAGAAGTAATGAAGCAATTAGTCTCTCGAAACTCTCCCAACTACCCTCTGAATAAGAAACACCCTCCGTCGCTCCCCCTCTCATTAGCTAGTACATGTCAACAGAAAGCTGTTCGAAACTTCTAGCTCGTTGCACTTCATATTACGCTGTTTAGCCGACACGACTCGGCACTTTTCGCCAGCACAACGATGGCGCACGTACGAGAAATTACGACGTTCGAAAAAAATTGAACAAGAAAACATCGTAATTACACTCACATGTTCAGAATCTGAATGTGAATGCACGGGTGGCATGTGGGTGGTGGTCGTCGTAGTGGTGACCTGTGGTCGTTGATGGATCATCGACGGTACACCACCGGAGCCCTCGATAACGTCCACCATTGACGCTAAAATATGCTCATTTAACACAGCAAAAATCCTGCCAGAAAGTCTGTCCACTTCAGAGAACGCGCCGTTCCTGGAGTGTGATAGTCATACCGAAGGCGATTTGATGAATTTGGGAAAAAAGTGTTAGATGATGAGGACAATGAGGAGATTGGAAGGAAAGGTGTCGTTATAACTGCCAAGGAAGCAACGCAGTTAAGTTGGCTTCACTCCATTGACCTCTTTTTCCACGATCTTCAACCCACTGATGACAGCCGCTGTGCGTCTCACAGCGCTTATTCTTTTTTGGACTTCATTCGAAATTATCATGACTAGAATTCCGTTATTGGCGATGGATATTTTCCCGTATACGGTTATGTTTAAGGACAGTGTTGGAACACGAAGAATAACCCGCTCCCTTACCCTGTGCATGTTTGCCACTCTGCTACCGGAAGACCAACAGTTCCTGTCCTCCAGCTCATGGCTTTGACTTCCTGATAAGAAGTTTCAATGTGAACTGTAGCGATAACAGCGCCATGGCTCTAAGCAAGCCATCAAAATGAGCACCATGAAATAGCGCAGACAACAACGCAACTCCCAAGAAAAGTAGAAAATGCGGAGATCGAAACACAGATGTAAGAAATGGAAAAATCAGACTTATCACAACACTGCTTTCTTTCTACTTGATATTCTCGTGAATATGTGCAGTACTGGAACTTTCCAGCATTACTGCCCTTTATACATCTAATCAAAGGAATCTACTTTCACCACTTCCAATGTTAGCCTTCGTGTTAGCACTAACATAAAACGTGTAACTGCATCCAAACTCTAGACATTCGACGATGATAACTTACTTCCAGAACCGTGAACGGACTCGTCATCCTCGTCGTCACTACCGTAACCGGAACCGTGGATCTCCATGTCTGGTGAAGATATGGAATGTTTCGTCCCAGACTCGTCACCACTCCCCTCTATGACCTGAACATAGATAGAGATTTTGCCAAGGCGTCAACCAACTATGTGAAACGCAAAAATCAATAACAAAAAAATATATATAAAGGATTAAATGACAAGAAGAATAAAAACTAGATCCTCAACCCAGTAACCCATGCCATCGGCGTTAAATGACTCAATAAAAACTGAATAATTTTTAAAAAAATATTGATTTTTTGGCAACTACTGCAAGCTTCTTCACATACCTCACTCTTTTTGATCGAATGTATAGCGCCATCGATCGCTCGCTTATTGATGGATGCCGAGGTCTGAACAATTGTAGAATTGATAAATTATGGCTATAAGTTACTGAATATTCATAAATATTCCATTAGCGGGTCCGATCTTTTGACCCACTTTAGTGAATGAAAAGATTTTCGACAACTGATTTGAGCTGTCATACCGACAACTGTCTGCCAGTCGGCGTGGATAATGTATGTATGACAGGTGCATTTAACACTTGGCGCATAAACGCACAGCATCGAAAATGATAACAGAGACAGAAAAACCGATCGATAACTATGCTATGACCCACATTTGTTGCGGCAACATAGCCGATAAGCACAACAAACAGAAGACGCATCGCTTGATTAACCAGGTACCATAGTAGAGAGCAGTGGAGAATCTGCAACGTCAGTCGATCATTGAGTTACACTACAGAAAAACATCCGAAAACAGAATAAGACCGAGCTATCAAAGGTTCAATCAACAGCGGCCACGCCACGAGAATAATTCTAGCCATCTTATCAAGCTATGTGTTTGTTACGATTCTGTTCACGAATGCCATCAGGAATGTGTTTCTTATCAGGACAGAAAATGAAAATGGAAATAATAACGGTCCTGAGGAAACACGAGTGAAACGGGAAACTGTTAGAAATCGAATCGAAAACTGCGATCGGTCCAAAAACACACTCACACACACACACGTACAGAACGAATAAAATGTTCTTCAACAATATACTGAAACGAGCTGAACTAATCGCCGACCAATGGTTTGATATAATAATCGCCAGCGAAGAAGAGGATGGAGACGAGTGAAAGGTGAGGTCGGTCATTCATCAAACGTTATCTCGATTCGCGACACAGAGTTATGGCGGCAAAGAGCCATGCGTCCACTACAGATTATTGGTCGTCACAACGGGTTTTCTGGAGGGTCACTTTGCTTTGCTAATCATTCATCATACGAAACTCGCATTTTTAAACATCATTTAGAAATCCACGGAAAAAAAGAAGACATTAAGGTTTTTCAGACACTCAAACCCTTTCAAGTGACAAATCTTAAACATAAAAAAACGACGGCAAAAATGAAGTTGATTCATTGCTTAAGCGTCTAGTGAAACATACGTTACCGATTAACCCAGAAATTTTGAACCCGAGACCAGTGACGAAGGTCGATCGGAGAACAATGCGACCGTATTAATATAAAAACATCGGCATCTAAACATGGCAGGCTTGGCTACAGGAGGCAACAAAAAATCAACAAATGATAAGAGTGATCGGTTCTGATCAGATTGCATTTTAATAAGCTGGAATACTCAGATTCCCAAGAATCGATCAAATTTTATCGTTTTCTTCAACAACATAAATTCAGAGCGAACACTCATATTCTCACTCTCAAAGGTGATCCTGAATATTTGAGCGCTAAGTTGATCCGTCTGGGTGAGAGGTAGAGGCCATCTGAAACTCGATATGTACCAAGTGACTGCGAGTTCACATGTTTGATTGTTTGATGGGAGCGAAAAAAAGAAGAAGTGCTCACAAGATCTATGCATTTATACTAGTAAATGTGGGAGATGGCTGTCACTGCAACCTTTTCTCAAACCCACCGCATTGCGCACTGCGAGCGCTAGATGTGCGCGATGGTTTCATTGGATCTAAACTTTCACTTTACTCGGCCACCCCATTCCAATCGATAACTAGTATGAATAAGGCCGATCCATGAATGTCGTAAAGATGGGTGTGTGAATGCCATCTTTTCAAAGCAATGTCAGCCGGTTTAACACAACAACTAGCATATTCTACGCAATGACTTAAAGTGACAAATACGTGCGAGTAGGAGATGGGACGGTGCAGTATACGGTATGCACAGTCGGACAGATATCCACACATAAACAATCAATAAGCATCTCAACACATTGAACGACATACGGCAACAATGAGAAGAAAACCTAGCAGATGTCCTATGGAGCAGGAGGGGCAAATTGTGCTGGTAAATCTCATTAGGAATCTGCAGGCAAATTAGATGGATCATCAGTTCCCAACCACACAGAGATCAATCTCGGGATGGAGATGGTATGTTGAAACGGGAAAAAACCCAGGGCAACATAATATTGTGCGGATGGAATATTGAGATATATTCAACGTGAACGTTTCAGTTCTCTTATCATGACATGCGATGGGAAAGTCTCACCACAGGCAGCACTATCATCAGGTTTTGGCGGTCAGCGAATGAGTAAAAGATCGAGAATAGAAGGGATAGCCGCCCCGACGCGGCCGGCAAGCGTTGGGGGCCCCAGCGACGGCGACGAACGTAATAGACGGACGGGGAAACGCCGTCGTATCGATCGAAACGCAAAATGACCGCAGAGCGATGCGATCGTTGCGGATGGCTTTGGGGATTTGGGTGGGGACCGACCCCGACGGCGCTCGGTGGTTACCGGATGGACGGGAACCTCCTTCCGGTAACCACCGAGAGAGGCGGTAGCGATCACCTGGGGCGAGCGCGCCAGCAATGATCTGAGCTGGCGTCACAGCAAGTTTGACGAAAATCGCAGAACGTTGGCGGAAAAGTCAGTCTCATTCTCGCAAAGAAATTTTACCATTTAATTTCAGGAGCAAGAGCAAAAACAGAACGTAATTTTCTGGCGAAATGGAAACCACTGCGACGCTATAATGAATCTCATCATTTGAACCGCACTTGAACAAAGACACCTTGCAGAAACATTTTCCACGTGGTTTTGAATCCCTAGCGCTACCCGAACTTCTAAAATTTATTGCTCACACAAAGCAATACTTTCCAAACTTGAAGTTTCCGGCATTAAGTATGAAGAGATTACTGCCAAAAGGTTGCAGTAATAATATTTTTCAGATAAAACATTACAATACTCCAAGTAGTTTTTCATGAAATCGCAACGCACTGCGGACAGGGTCAACCGCCCGTTGCGCAAAGAACAACGAGGGGGTCGTATTCGGCCGAACAAAAGAGGAGGGGGTCGTTTCAAGAAGGACTGGGCTGCAATGGGGCTTTGGAAGTGCAGTGTCCTTGAGTGCACTTTCACGCTCTAATGTTCTCCAGGAGCTCTGCACAGTGCAGCTGTCTTAGAGTCACACAGACAAGAGCTCCATGGGAGCATTAAAGCATGCACAGCGTCATAAGTCTCACTATCAGCCATTATTATCCTTAATACACGGAGGGCGCTTTCACTCTACAGGATATGTCATGATTACAATGGCCAAAAACAAGTGCAAAAACATGGTCTGTCTTCGATGATCGAACCCAAGGAGAACAAATTGTAGAGCACTTCATGGGAAAGTGAAACAAGAGTACCATATAACAATACAATGCAATCCAATCACGATACTAATAGATTCTTCAGGAAATGGAGGACATTCAAGTGCGAGTGCGACTTCTAACCACGGACAGGTGCACGGCGCAAACACGAGCAGGCGTTTTCTCATAGAAACGCCTTCTCTGCTAGCAACCGTGAGCAGACAAACTTCCTGAAGAGAACTTCGATGCTTTCAAACTGACTCTGAGCGAAACAAAGTGTAGCGAACTTGCCGAATTGACTTCTAGAGAGCCCTTAGGAAAATGGGGATAGAGAGAATTTCTGGAAAATTTACATCTATTATAATGATAATGTACTCTTCAAGTAGATTCTAACGGTCCTTACTGATTTTCATCATATCAATTTTGAAGGAAGTTATGGGCCTTCGGAGACTGCATGGTCGCCGTCCATGAAAATGGCTTGAAAAAAAATCAAGGTGACAGAAACGGAGCAACGGAACTATTTTTTGAGAGAGGGATCGCTGGAAAAAAGTGAGGTACTTGTTTGGAAGCTCTAATCTTCTAGTTACTAATTAGTCTTAAACATCTGCAAAATGTTGATTATGAAGAAAGTTACGAACGTTTGAATGTCGAAAACTTGCGATTTCTCAAAAATCGGACCACATACCCCCCAAAAAACGGAACGTGATTTTTTGAGAGAGAAATCGTTGGGAAAAGGTGAGGTACTTGTTTGAAAGTTACAATCTTCTAGTTTCTAATTAGCCTTGAATATCTGCAAAATGCTGACTATGAATAAAGTTAGGAGTGCTTGAATGTCGAAACTCGCGTGTGCACAAACGGAACAAGGGGACGATTTTTTGAAATATTGAACATCCGCAACATATCAAATACTCATTAGAAAACTACTTGAATTTTCAAAATTTTGGTGTACGGTTTCATGAAAATGCCGAAAACGAGGATATGAGCTTTCAAATGAGGACGTCCGTAACTATTGGAGATTTAAATTTTCCAGCTCATACAAAAAGAAGAGTTGGACGTTCGCGGGAATCTTGGCAGGTACCTGAAATTGGGAAGCTCTAGAAACATAAAGGAACCTAAGTTTACAAGAAATCTTCTAAATTCCCTGAATAAAACCTTTAATATTTCATTTTTTCTCGATTCCGCGTCCCAAGCGAATAGAAAACGCGCTCCACGCCACTTCGCGCCGCGGTAACGGCGCGAATTTCTGAATTCGAATTTCACTACTCGGTTCCTTGCCTTCCTTATTTTTGTTAAGAAATGTTTTCGTATTTCTTTTGTTGGGGAATCCTTCCGTAGTGCTTTAAAGGCCACGCTAAAGGCCTCTGAAGCATTACGGAAAGATTTCTTGGCGCAATGTGGCGCGGTGGTCAGTTGCCGCCCGCGCCACATTGCGCCAAGA